ATTATTATCAGTAGGGTGGAACCCTGCTATTGTGGTGTTAGCCTTGCCTGTCAATCACCCTGTCTAACTGTTTTATTTTTAGGGCTAAACCTCGAAATAAAAGTAGCCCCACTTCATATGAAAAGGAAATGGATCTAGTTTTACAAGCCACAAACCCCCATTTCGCTACGTACGTCAACGTCTTGTGCTCCATGTAGAAAAAAATTCGAGGGAAGAAGGAGGAAAAGGATTAGGAAATAGAGTCATTTCAAATACATTTGAACTCTGATAAGTTGTTTACATTCCTTAACATTTTTCTTGCCCTTTCCCTGGAAGCCATCGAAGGGATCATGTTCGTATTTCATATACTGGCAATTTTATCTTAAGACTAACTTCTCCCAGCTCGATCGATAACAAACGACACAGAAGAAATCTTACATATATAAAGATATATGGGTGTGGTATAATAAAATAAGTTATTAAGGTCACCTTTAGCATCTTTCCCACCCCATTCCCTATGAATTTATTGATGGAAGAGTGGGATAGAGAAAGGATCAACGTTTCTATTTATTTCTTCAGATACCCATCGCACCCCCCCACTCCGCTCCTTTACGTGTTTTACTCTACGTCATCGAATAACACCACTGTCTCCGCTTTCACATCGTAGTACGACATACTCGTGCATCGAGCAACGAGATCGATCTCATCTAAATCCCCTTCCGCCTCTAGCAGGGTGAGGGGAAAGAATAGCTTACCGCGCAGCTCGAATACCCTGGGCGCGAGGGGGTCCTCCATCGGCGTTTGCGGGGATGGAGGGCCCGACCCTTCCGGCTGGGGAGATGCGGTAAGACACGACACTCGCAGCGCGAGCAAATGCTCCTCGCGAGAGGGACCCACACCCCCAGGCGCGGATTCGGAGCTCTGCTTTCGCCGAGCGCTACAGGAAAGCCACCACCGCCTCGCCAACCCGGAGGATGAAAAGCCATCCCTCCCCTCCCCCACCTCGTCGTCGTCCGCTTCGGCGTCGGGGTTGGGGTTTTCCTCGCCCGTAGGGCGAGCCTCCGACCGCGCCGCATCACGACCGCCTGACCACAAAACAAACGCGCAAACCTCCACCACCGTCGCGAGGCCGACGCCGGGCACCTCCTCGACGGATCCCCGCGCGCTCAACGACTCGATCTGCGCGATTGCATGCGCCTCGGCGACGAGCGCGAGGGCGAGCGCGGCGCGCTCCCCATCCCCTACGACCTCCGCCAACTCCGCTGCCGGCGCCGCACGTTTTTTCTGCAACGCCGCGAGGGAAATCCCCCCCCGACGCGCGAGCGAGGACGAGGAAGGGACAAGCGCCTCGATCCCGACCTTTTGGATGGTAGGGAGCTGCCAGAACCCCTCCTCCCCCGCCCACACCCGGCGTTGCAGGCATTGATGCAGCCGCATCAACGCGGCGACGGCCCCGGCGTGGGTGCGGCCGTCCAGGAGCTCCACGAACGCCGCCACGACGCGGGCGAGGGCCGGCAGCAGACGATCGCGATCCTCGGCAAGCCGAGCGGCGAGGCGGGGATCGATCCGACGAAGCAACGCGAGATCCTCCGCGCTGGCGGCCTCGCGGGCGCCGTCGAAGGGGTGCGCCGCGGATCCTCCGTCGGCGGCCTCCCCGGGTGCCGCGAAAAA